AAGACTATCACTTACGTCTTGATTGGCTCGTTCGACAGACCAAAACAATATCTCACAAGAGGTAATCACTGAACCTATAATAACTTGATCACGTGCGTATCACTACAGAACAGCAGCAGAAAAGAAAACACAATGCAGGTGCAGGTCCGTCCATCCTAATCGCAGATAGTGCAAATGGTGGGGGTGACATGTCTAAACGTAAATTCGGCGTTTGCACAAACTAGAAATACCCACACCCCGACGTGGGCAATCCCTCTTGCTCACATTGCGTTGTGGGTATTTTGAATTTGCTCAATCGCCGAACAACGTTATAACTTCGGCATTTGAGTAAATCAATTTACCCACAACGCGGTCTGGGCATTTGACTTCGGCCAATGTCCGAATAAAATGCTCACTCGGCGTCGTAGGTATTTCACACTATCCACATCTCGGAGTGGGTAGAAATTTCGGACATTGTCCGAATTCGGAGATTAAGTGTAACATATATAAAACCGCTTGCATGAATTAAACTAGAAGTGCCATTTCCAGAAGGTTTATACACTTCAGAACATAAGGTTTTCTAGTCTAATCCTTTACAAGCCACCTGTCGAACAGTCCAAAATTCAGTAAATAACTAAGTATAATCTTCTGGTGTTATAGTGACTTTTTTGCTTTGCTTCTATTCCTATTAAAATAAAAAAAAGAATATCGTTTTCAACACACTTGGTTGTTTTTTTGCCATTTGAGGTCGAAAGCTACGTATTGCTGTCCATTTCAGCTGTCATCGTGATTTGGGGACCGAGCGTGTGGTGAAAAATAGCGTTCGTACCACGGACCAAATTTTGCAGCTCTCGATTGTTTTAAGTTATTTTAATGGTGTCAATTAAAGAAATTGGCAAGTTTTTTGCCAGCATAACAGCTCATTTGAGTTCTTCTCTTCTGCTCTTTAAATCAGTTTGGGTATACAGGCATTTGGTCAGATCTTCTGTGTGCTGAATTGATTTGGACATTTGTTTGTGTCTATTAGACTGTGAGTGCCGATAAATTTCTGATCTACTACAAGTAATAGTAATAATTAAATATACTGTTCACAGATTGTGCAGTAGGCCATATCCTCATGCTTAGGCCCTTTATTAGATTTTGAAAGCCATCCAGCAAAATTAGGAACAGATTCCCAAGAGGATACATACTTTTGAAAATATTTTTTCTTATCGGGGGAACCAATTTCTTTTCTCGTCTTGTGGAAAGTTTTACTAGATCTGTTTTGACTTTTGGCTGCTGAGGCTACTTGGGGGTTGTCTCTATGGCTATTTCTTCCTCATAATCATAAAATGTTGTAGGCAGATCAGAATTGTAATCTCTGGGTTTGTTAAAACCAATATAATCACGATCTTGTGCACTAATTTCAGTTGAAGTTGTCCTGCATGCAGACATATACTCACAAACATCCGCTGCGGACGTACTGGCCGTAGGTTCATACTCAAATACATAAGTCAATAAGTCATTTATTCAACCAAAATAACACATACATACATTTGAAGATCTTTTATCAGGACATATCTCTAACGTTGAAGAGGGTTCAGAGGAGTTTTACTTCCTCCAGAATGCACTGTATTGTCACTTGTTGTAGTTTTGAAAAAAAACTTGTAATTTTAGAGGTCTGCTTTGTTTCCTTTTTTTCGGGCCGCCTTCTGTTCATTTTTACCAAGTGATACCATAAAAGTTAATTTCATAAAAATATGTCACATTCACATCACGACTAAACTTGTTGTAGGATGGTAGGAATAAAAAATCATAAGACAACAAAACGGTGTCAACAGCATGCATAACATCAATGCAAGGCAACCAGACAGGACAGAACTCAGCAGAAGCTCCTTTGTCAGTGATGAAAACAAAGTTTCAGAATTCAGATTTTAAGTATTTAGTTATTTAATTTAATTTATATATATGAATCATGTATTAATTATTATTGATATTGCAACCTTAATTAGTATAATAAACCACATACTATACTATTCATATATGTATTTAGTGTTATAAATACAAAATTCACTTTTAAGGTAATTCAAAGCTCATTTAGGGTAATCTTTGCTCGTCTTTAGGGTAAAACTGCAACAGCCCAGTGGCAATGCTTTCAATTGTTACGAACGACCACCCGGGACTGCTGGAATCCACCCACTATTCAAATTACGGGCTTTTCTTTATTTAAGTCTGCAAGTTATGCGGCGTTTTCAACTGTCAATTTTGTCTTCAACATCAGTGTTGACATTGACAAACGAGCGGACCTTCAGAGAATTTGAGAACGCTGGAAAACTCCTCTCTGGGAGGGTTTGGAGTATTTTTGCAAGCACCTTTTATAAGATAAACCCTTTTGGAAATAGTACATGGGCATGGAACTAAACGAGCGTCAGTGGATGGTCAAAAGGATGTCAGTGGATTGTCAAAAGGATAGTCCACGAAGGAATTAATTAATTTGTAACACAAGCTTAATTGCGTGCAACCGGAAACCTGGGTACAAAAAGGTAAATTCAGTCAGAAATTACAGCATCTTAAATGTATAATAACTTATCACTCCATAATGCATGAAAAATGCCATTTAATTTAAATAATAATATAATAATATATACCAAAAGTATAACTTTAAATCGAAGGCATAACAAAAAAAAAAAAACTATGAGTTTTGCAATGTTTCTAACTGTAATAATTAAATATATGTCTGTTTTAGTTAACAAAATAATTAGTTTTTAGTTTTTGTAGCGTAGCGAAAATTAATGTTCAAAACACGAGTGAAAGTGGGTTCGATATATTCTCGACCATTTAAATGATCGGTGAATCTCGCACTTAAAAAACATATGGTCCCAAATATGTCATGACTCACTTTCTACTCTTATTAAGTTTATGAAATGAACTATTGTTACGTTACAAAGCTGAGTTCCAGAGTAAGAATTAAAATTTGGAGTTTTTTTCTTGTCTTGCCCGAAATGTGTTGTAAACACAGTGTTTGATTCTGTTCCTGTTCCTGTTTATGCCACTGAGTGCGTGTCAAAATTTCTGTTTAAAAAAGTTTATGTCTTTGGCTGAGTGCAATGTTTTTCTTAAAATTTATTCAGTTTCAGGCCAGATATTTTTTTTTCTGCGATACCAGGTTTGACAATACTTGGCTTTTTGCCAAACGCGAAGTGAGTGTGACCTTTCGAGGTCATGACCAACAGTTTACTAGTTTTCACCAAGACGGTTGTCTCATGTGACATATGATATTACTGTTGATGCAAACGAATATCATGGCCTATAAACTTTTTTTTGCGCCCAAAGTTTTTGCAGGCATTCACATGACATCGCATGCTCTGAAATGCCCACAGGCATGTCTATAGGATCTAAAAAGATAAATATTGCCTTGTTTGTTCATCTCGTTTCTTGCTGATATAAAATTTTCTATTCCTTCTTTTTGCTCGGGGGATAAAAGAGTTGGTACTGTTTTGTTTCATTTTCCTTCTACTTCCAAGTCTCAACCAAGTCTTTAAGTTCAGCTTACAAAGGATATAGTATTTTAATCTCTTTATTACTGTCTCTTCTATAAGCGACAACCATAAGCTAGTCTTATTTGGTGATACTTTCCGTTTCCCCCGGTCTGTGGGGATGAAGAAGAATAACATGAACTACATAGAGGATCTAGTTGGGTGGAAACCTGGGTCACCCTATCAATATTCTTGTCTTTTGTCTCCCCTTCAAATATTTTGACACATTTTTCATTTTCCTCTTTAAAATATTTGTCCATTAATTGTATGTCTTTTGCTAGAAATTTAGATTTAACTTTGTCCTTTAAGATGATGTACAAGTCGAGGTATGCTTACGTTTAGGGGTTTTAAGACTTCCACCGTGGACCGTCCCTCAATGATGCGAAAAATCGATTAATTCGTAAAAATTAATGATATTATTAATGTGTTATTATGTCAATAATCTGTTTATCTTTTTATACATCGGATTAGGTAGATGGTGGCGGGAGTTATAAGTGTTTAATTATAAGTAAAACGATAAGAAGGGCTGAAGGGGGATATTGAGGCCAGGGGTGCCATTCTGTCGGGTACTGTTACGACAGATTGTCACTCTAGGTGGCCTCTGCCAGGTTGTCACCACGACAGATTGGCATCACCCCTTTCTCGGGATTCCAATCTGTCGGGTGCTGTTACGACGGATAGTCACCCTCTGTGGCCTCCGTCAGGTTGTCACCACTACAGATTGGCACCCCTCTTTCTCGGGGTTCCGATCTGTCGGGTACCGCACACGTCTGATCGTCACCTCTAGGAAGGGTGCCATTTTGCAACGGATGAGACGCTATTTTTGGCAATGAACTCCACTTGTCCAGATTTTTAAAATGAAGTGCATATCAACCTATGCTTATGTTACATATTTCCAAAGACTGTCCCTATTTTTAATCTAGCTGATCAGTTGACACAGTAAACATTATGTGCACTATTTAATTGAATATTTAATTAATTAAAGGACATAATAGCTTACGTTAAAGATGATGCACCTACTCCTCATGGACTGTCCCCTGGTGGAGGTCAAACAATGGCAATGCTTGCAAAAAGTAGTTTTGTATACATATAAGTTGGTAAAAAAATGGATTTAGTTAGAAACATATTAAGCAGTGTCCAGACTTTTTTGTCACCCTGTATATATTTCCATGTGTATGTTTGCATTTGAAAGGATGGTGTTTTTTGCCTCTAGGGACCTCAAAACGAAAATGTTAATCGGTCCCGGGTCCAGTTCCTACCATGAGTACTATGGTAATAGCTTATTCCCTATATGGTAAATTTCGCTAAAAGATGCATTCAACAAATCCTTGTCAAAATTGTTTCACTATTATTACTTAGCATTAGCAACCGAATGTAATTTTCCTATGAATGATTAAAGAGTTTTCTCCAGCTTCAACCACCTTTATCACCCCAGAGGGGGTGTCCGCGCGCATGTGCGGGTGTGCGGGTGCGTGCGACGCAACTGTCACTTCATACAGTCAGTGCCGTGATTGTTGCCATGACGCGTGGTGCTCTGTAGGATAGGCCAGTCTACGTCCTCAACTTTCACCAACTCGTCTGTAGTACACAGCTACAGGTAAACTAAACTGTTGTGTAATAAATTTCAATATCTTAATTTTTATGAACTGAAAAAATAAAAATAAAATAAATTATAGCAACAAAATATGTGACAACCTTATCTCCCATTTTACTGAAAGCAACCTATTTGTAGTGCATAGCTGAAAGTTAACTGAATTATTATTTGTATTTTTACTATTGTGTTTTATAAAGCAAAATTTATCGACATTTATTTTTTTATCTATAAATCGACCAGGTGAAATCATTGTCCTACTCACTAACTTATACTGGTTTATTGTAAACCGCTATTATACTTTCTAATTTAAACTAATGTTTTATTCGCGTAACTATATGTATTTTTTTACATATTTTTAAATTTCATAGATTAACTGAAGCCAATTTTGAAATATGTTTCTATTCTGCCCATGTAAAAGGTCTTTTGTTGTTTACCAATAATTTATTTTCAATAACAAACCTTTAACTTGAAACAAAAAAATCTGTTATATTTGTAGTTTTTTTTTTGGGAAAATATTCGTTTTACTCAGAAAGCGGCTTTTACCGCCTCAGGTTTCTACCCCTCAAAATAAATATTCAAAATTTTAGAACAAAATCCACCCTCTTCAGTTCCAGATGATAATTATAATCTAATTTTCTAACTAACTAAAAAAAAATCTAAAACTTTAAAAAATATTCAAACTAACAGTCAAACCGACTAGCTGAATTTGATAAAGAATAAGAAATGTACCCTCCATATGGATGACATTGGGTGACTACGCATTCGTCTACCATCGTCATGAACAACTATCTACAACTACTTTTCTTCGCCACCATATCCCTCAGGGAAGTTCTAGGGGAGCGATTAACTTTTCGTAATAATAAGATGTTACAATTAGCATTTGTTTGCTTGTTTACTTTAAATGTTTATATTTTCATGTAGTTCCTTTTTTGTTAAGTCTAGGGATTTATTTTAAATAATTAAAACACGATGCACACACTATATCAATTTCAAAACTGTACTTCGGAATTGGAACGCTTCAGTAAAAAAGCAGACCTAAATAATCGGTTAAATTTATAAAGTAAATTTATCGATGAGAATTTAATGTTTTTGTAACCAGCATAGAACCTTTGTTCGTAAGCATAGTGATGTCCAAATAGTTATCCTCATATCATTCAACTTTTGCCGTAAAATAGCATCCAACCGCGTTTTCTCAAACACTTTGAACCGTCTTGTTACTTTTACTGTCAACGAATTTTTTAATTCTAGGTCTATTATTCCATGTTTGTAATAAAATGGTTTCGTTCAACAAGGAAATACGTTATGCCCACGAATATTAGAGCAGATAGCGGTATGGGTCGTATACATAAACAAATGACGTAACTGGTCCGAATCCTATACTAATAACATCCTGTATAACTAAACTGATTTCTTGTGACACAAGTCGTCAAGGACAATGACAAAACATCGTCGCCATGCCATGTACATTACCTAAAAAACATGTGCAGCTCGAGAGAGACTCCAACGAGACCTCCGTATTTTATTTTGGCGTATTACTGCAAAACTCGCAGAAAGATCCATTTGCACTACAGCTTTGCGTAATAACACCTTAAAATAATCCTACACTAAACGGAAAAAGAACTGGTGTTTTTATACATCAAAATGGATATTTAAAGGACGCAGTTGGGAATTAAGTCTAACCGCAATCTTTAGCAAAAATTTAGAACGTTCTCCAGATTTGGCCTATTGTTTTAATTTTTTAATTCCTTCCCTATAGTTCAGTATTTTTAGCTTTTGTTTGAAGATTATTTTAAGTTGGTTACATTGTAGCAACATTAATTAGGGGACCATTTTCTTTCGAAATTATATTTTATCAATAAAAAGTATTACAATATTATCCTGGCCATTTATTTTGGGGCCCGAATGTAAAGCACTTAACATAATATACTAAGCACATTTCACCCCGACAACATGCAAATTTAAAGTAAGCTCATTTAAAATTACACAAAAAAACTTAAGAATAAATCTAAAACAAAATTTTAAATAGATAAGGTTTTACTAATTAACAAATCTAAAACTAACAGTCAAACCGACTAGCTGAATTTGATAAAGAATAAGAAATGTATCCTCCATACGGTACATATCGAAACACACGCTAAGCCTAGACGGCTGTACTACTCTCAGACGTACTTAAATAATAATATGAATTTTTTCGATACACTACTGTGAAATGACTTGTTTTCGATACATGTTTATCACCTGCGAAAATTCATCATTAAATTGATTACTACGGAAAAGTAATGTTTACAATGCAAAAGTAAAGTTTACTATTTTTTTTTTATTTTGCCGACGTAAACAAACAAAGGTGTGTTATTGTTTGTCAACTGTTTCAATTTCAATCAAAACTGTATATATACCAAGAGTATAACTTTAAATCGAAGGCATAACAAAAAAAAAAAAAAACTATGAGTTTTGCAATGTTTCTAACTGTAATAATTAAATATATGTCTGTTTTAGTTAACAAAATAATTAGTTTTTAGTTTTTGTAGCGTAGCGAAAATTAATGTTCAAAACACGAGTGAAAGTGGGTTCGATATATTCTCGACCATTTAAATGATCGGTGAATCTCGCACTTAAAAAACATATGGTCCCAAATATGTCATGACTCACTTTCTACTCTTATTAAGTTTATGAAATGAACTATTGTTACGTTACAAAGCTGAGTTCCAGAGTAAGAATTAAAATTTGGAGTTTTTTTCTTGTCTTGCCCGAAATGTGTTGTAAACACAGTGTTTGATTCTGTTCCTGTTCCTGTTTATGCCACTGAGTGCGTGTCAAAATTTCTGTTTAAAAAAGTTTATGTCTTTGGCTGAGTGCAATGTTTTTCTTAAAATTTATTCAGTTTCAGGCCAGATATTTTTTTTTCTGCGATACCAGGTTTGACAATACTTGGCTTTTTGCCAAACGCGAAGTGAGTGTGACCTTTCGAGGTCATGACCAACAGTTTACTAGTTTTCACCAAGACGGTTGTCTCATGTGACATATGATATTACTGTTGATGCAAACGAATATCATGGCCTATAAACTTTTTTTTGCGCCCAAAGTTTTTGCAGGCATTCACATGACATCGCATGCTCTGAAATGCCCACAGGCATGTCTATAGGATCTAAAAAGATAAATATTGCCTTGTTTGTTCATCTCGTTTCTTGCTGATATAAAATTTTCTATTCCTTCTTTTTGCTCGGGGGATAAAAGAGTTGGTACTGTTTTGTTTCATTTTCCTTCTACTTCCAAGTCTCAACCAAGTCTTTAAGTTCAGCTTACAAAGGATATAGTATTTTAATCTCTTTATTACTGTCTCTTCTATAAGCGACAACCATAAGCTAGTCTTATTTGGTGATACTTTCCGTTTCCCCCGGTCTGTGGGGATGAAGAAGAATAACATGAACTACATAGAGGATCTAGTTGGGTGGAAACCTGGGTCACCCTATCAATATTCTTGTCTTTTGTCTCCCCTTCAAATATTTTGACACATTTTTCATTTTCCTCTTTAAAATATTTGTCCATTAATTGTATGTCTTTTGCTAGAAATTTAGATTTAACTTTGTCTTTTTTAGCAGCAAAGGCCTTCAAACTTTAACTTAACATCTTCTCAGTTCATGTCAAATACGCCAAATAATTTCCTAATAACTTCATTGTATGGTTCTAGGCCCTGAATAAACAACATATGTTGTACTCAGTTTAGTGTTTTGAGCACTTGCCCTTCATATCACGCTGTCTTGTAACAGCAAAAATCTCTATCTTTCTGAAAACCAATAGCTAGAATTTCTTTAAAGAAGGTTTAGAATAAAGGCAGTAATTTATTGACTGTCTTCCACCTATCTTAGAAAAAAGAAGCAATTGATCATTATAACTTTGATTTGAATAACACTGTTATTATTGACAAGTAAAATTTAAGTATAGTCCACATTAAATGTACAACAGTTTTATTTGTCAACTTTCTCTTATTACGATTTAAAATTTGAAGGGTTTGCCTTGTTATAGGACTAATATGTTTAAATATATATATTAAGACTTTGTGTAACAGAATAAGAGGAGTGACGGAAAATGGGGAAATAATTACATTAACTCATCTCTTTATTATCTCCTTTAAAATTACATAAAAACCTTCAGAATAAATATAAAACAAAATGTTAAATGGATTAGGTTTTACCTCTCCACACGCAAAGCACGATGGTCCAGGCAGTACTATTTTCAGACGTACTTAAATAATAATATGCATTTTTTGCTACACTTATTGTGAAATGACCTGTTTTCGATTCATGTTTATCACTTGCGAAAATTCATCATTAAATTTTTTACTGCGGAAAAATAATGTTTACAATGAAAAGTAAAGTTCACTATCTTTTTTTTATTTTGCCGATGTAAACAAACAAAAATGTGTTATCGTTTTGTCAACTGTTTCAAAACTGCATAACATAAAAAAATTCTATGAGTTCTGCAATGTTCCTAACTGTAATAAATAAATATATTTTTTTGTCCTAGGACGCTAGGCACGAGCTTGGGATTGTTTTTCACATTACTTCAGGCTAGACCTAGGGGTTGCGGCATTATAACTTGGATAAAACCCATTGGTGACTTGACGGGGATCGAACCCGAGACCTAAGGGACTGAAGTCCCGCGCTGTAACCACTACGCCAGCTCGCTCCCCAATAGATATATTATAAATGAAATGAATATTCGGTTACTATTTGGTATTCAGTCTATTCGGCCATTTTTTCAGTATTCGGTATTCGGCCGAATACTAGTTGACATCTGGCCCAATACCGAATACACCCGTATTTAGTTTTAATTAAACTTTGTGGAAAAAATCAAAACGTTACACATTTTTTTAAAAAAAGGATTGTTATTTGTACAAAAACCAATATTTATTTTCAGAACTTGGTAAATTAATAATCAAACTTAATTAATGGTAAATTATGATGAATAAAAACAGGGTTTTCAGCACGTTTGGGCAGTAAGCG